ATACAGTGAAAAGATTGGTCTGAATTCACACGCAGAAATCCAGCGTAACCGAGCTGGCCTTGCCCAGTTAGTGATATTTTGAACCTGTAAGATGTTGGTGTCAATCCTACTACTGGTACCAACTCCCAGTTAAATACATGAACGCACAAGTCAGGAAAAGTCACCCCTTGCACACAGCACTTTGAACTCTGTATCTAACCACCTTACTACCAGATCATCTCCTGAAATACAACACTGGAAGATCTGACAGCCAGATCAGCTTTTCTATCAGTTTCTCCCTGCCAGGCAGGTTCTAGCTTGCACCAACATAAATATTTTCCTTTACAGTTTTCAAAAGGAGGTTACTAAAAATCTACAATCTTGAAAAGGCATTTTACAAAAAAACAATGATGCTGTAATCCTCATAACTAGGTATGAGAATAAACAGCCATTTTCTCCCCATCTCTTTAGAGATTCAGACTAACTGCATCCTTTTATTGGGCATACACGGCCCAATAACATGTTCGATTAAACTGCACCTGTCAGAAAGAAAACTAACCTTGAGGGAGGTTTACTAGACATACAGAGAGAAGCACCCGGAAAGGATCCCCCAGCAAGCTGTAGTCTCACTGCAGGTTGAAAGCAATGGCTTCCACAGATCATCAGTCACACACAACTCCCGAATTTTTTCCTAAGTTTCTGCTGCTGGGTACCAGAAAATCCTTGAGTGACACAGCTCTGAAGTTACCAAAGAAAAGGCAACTCCTTTTACAAGACTGTATAGGGCGGCATTACACCTTGGAAACACATGAAAAATAAAATACTCGAGAGTCCTACTCGCCTCGGTGGGACTTTACTACTTCTTAAAGGAAATAGTGGAAGTACCAGTTATATGAATCACTGCCTGAAACTCTTTTAAAAAGAGTGCAAAAAGGAAGTTTGAGAACCATATAAAATAAATGTGAACTTCCCAAAATTTTATTTCGATTTTCCACCAGCTTTGACAGCAGTACAAGCAGACAAGGGGAATGCACCTCATGTACAGAAACACAACCTCAAGCTCTAGCTGCCAGCCACAATGAACTGTACGAAGGCTTGATCTCCCTCATTTAAAAAGATGAACTCTCACAGCAACAGGAAAGCATTAGGCACTGAGCATGCTTGCAGTGAAGTGTTCATTTTATGGAAGCTATAGACCATCTGCTTAGCTTCGCTGCTGCGTGAAGTGTTCGACAACCAACAATCTCAAACAGCTCTAATTTAAAAAGATCTTCTAGAAGGTTTGAATGCGTTTTCTGGACTTAATGGACTTAATGGACATTTTTAAAAAAAACCTCAAAAGGACAATTTAGCTACTACTGGAAATTGCTGGGACAAGATGATCTATTCCCCTACCCCCACCAAGTGATAATTGTTCAAAGAAGAATCCTTCTTGTCTTTTAAGCAGATTTCTTAAAGAATTCAACCCAGTCAAATGAAAACTATCCTTGTAGTGTCAGCCAAGAAAACAGGGCCATAATACCACAATTACAACCAGAATTGTTACAGGAAAGGAGTCTGGTTTGAACAGAGCAGTTCTACACACAGTAGCATAGAAGAGAGGTTTCCTGAGAGGTTTCCAGATTTATTTAATAAACCTGAATATGCAAATAGCACAGTCAGGGCCAATGAAGAATTCACATCCTTGCTATAGTAAGTTGCTGCATCTTTAATTCACAAAACCTTCTCAGGGACTGCTCTACTCCCTGTTTCCAAAAATATCCCAGGCTATCACGAACATGCCATATACACCCAAGAAAACATGACTACGACTTTAATCGCTATGGTTTAACATGTGTTGACAGGTTTCTTTCTCCGGAGGATCACATGAAATCTATGAAATCCTTTGCTCATGTCTCTATAGATGGAGGAAGTGTTTTGATTTAATCTCTCCCTACCAATGGAAAAACATTTGTCTTGATGCCAGCACCTTATGGGCCTCTGCCATTGGGAATCGGTTCTTTTTCACTCCCCTTCTCAGTCGGTTAGGGGTAAGGTTTCTCCACCACCTTCGGCTTATGCAAGCACAGGCATCATGAGCTTAAGGTACCATGCTCATTTCTGGCGTGCTTTTCATTCCTCCGAGAGCCGCCTTAAAATGGCAAATCCAGCTCAAAATTAGCAATATTGGCTTATCATGCTCCAGATGAAATAAACCCCACTTATTTCTGAGAGCAGGTGAAAGGATCAGATTCTGGATTTTTTTCCATTCCTTTTCTCTTACTAGAAAGAATGCTTACAAAAACATACCACAGGAAAGAAAAACAGAAAAAGCAATAGACTTTCCTTGATTAGCCATTTACTAAAAAAGGATTAGAACAAACCATCACAGAAGCAAGGTCTCACCCAACAAAACCTGCCCCAAACCATAAAGGGTCATGAGTGCTACACACTGCAGACAAACACACTGAATTGAGAAAAATGGGCTTCTGAGCCATACTTGAATGCAGTTAATCAGTGATGCACACCACTTATTTTAAACATAATGAGAAAATCTTGGTTTAGAAGTTATTTTAGACTTTTTTCTACATTTCTATTTCACACCTCTTTCTTTCCCCTAGGATATATTGCTACAGTCACCACCTAAGGAATTTGCTCACAGCCCTGATACAGTTCTTGGAGCCTGACGGCAGCTACATTTTAAGCCGTTTAGCCAAGTTGGGCACATTCACTATTAGGTAGATCAGCTGCCTCACCGCTTTTATTGCCGCTCTTCAAATCTTTTAAGCTGTATACATTAAGTGGCAAACATCAAGGAACAGGAGGTGAAAAAACAAACCAACCCACATTCTCCTTTAGCAGAAAAATCAGTTTCAGAACAAGCTCACTGAAATGTTTCTTTACTTTTCTTAAAAGATTTAATCACAACTGGAGCATCAATAAGAGAAAAAGCTAACACACAGTCAGGGTTGATAATCCTATTAGGACAATAAACTGGGGGATGGGAAGAGACTGGAGGAGGCTCAAATGTCTATTAAAGAGAAGAGCAACAATGGAGAACGCTTCTGCTTGTCAGGGGAAAAAATCAGGGAGCAAGTAATTTTTTCCAAAATGGAAACACAAAATATTTATATAAAACACCAACCTTGCTTGCTCTCCTACTAAGAGAAAATTAAGATGTAAATAAAGGAAAACTTTAAAAAAAAACCAAAACACAATGCTTTTAAGCTTCATCTTGTTCAACATGAGATGGAGCCCTGAAAAAAAACAGATTTTCTATTTTTTCAAGTTGGCCAAGTTTTAAAAACTGTTTTCTCTTAAGCACTAGCACCTTCGCAGAGGCACCATTTTATCTCTTATGGTCTGTCACTAAACAGTCCTACCTTTCCCATCTCTCCAAACAACTCTGTGTCTAAGGACTTATGAAAGCACTCACTTTGCTCTGATCTTTTGGAAACACATCACCAGTGCCGAGCACAGCACTGCAGGTGAGGACAAACTAATAGTTTACATAATACGGATACTTCTACTGTTTTTTCCAACATATTCCTTGTTCAAATTAATTTTTACTTTACTTCTTGAACGTATGCTAACTGAGAAAGTCCAGGTCGCCTTCCCAAGCTGGTGAATCCCATTTGCAGCTGGCATTAGGCTACGACTGAAGTCCTTGAAAAATGGAATTTGTCCAAGTTGTGTCCTGTTCCTGACTGGGGTGGCTTTGTTTAAAATAAACCAAGATACCACAGAACCTCCTCCACCGGGTTCATATGTATCCCATCAGATAGAGACCTGAGGCAAGTCCCTTTGCTTTGAGGTAATTCTACTGGAGTTAGTTCACACCGAAACTTAGTAGTTTCACCACGTAACTGCGTAGTGGCTAGGAAAAATCTGCTCCTAAGAAGTTAGATATCCATGAGTTTATAGAAATAAGCTGGATAATTAGACTTTGTCACACTTCCCACAAATTTCAAAGAAAAACAAGTGAAAGATAAGCTGATTTTCTCTCTGTGCAGACCAATCCCCTCCACACAGCAAATCTAGCTGATTTGGAGCCTGGAAACAGCTCTATCCACTTTCACATGCTATGACCTTCACTCAGACCACAAGCATATCTTCTTTAAGCAAAGGGAACCCCTTCACTGCAGAGAGAATGCTTTTTATTTTTTTAATTTAAAAAATTAACTATACAGTACTCCACAATGATGTCAGCATTTCTTCAGAGAACGTGACATACACTTATGTCAGGCAATGTGATTTTTCCCCATGATTCCTAACACATCAATCAATTAACATTTATGTATTAATAAACTACAATGATAATGACTAATGATGTATGAAACCAGGACAGGCACACTGCTGTCCAACCGAACGACGGGAGGACCTCGCACCTGGAAAATGCAGAACTAAAAAGCAATGACTATATCAAGGAGGGATCAGAGCAGTGTCCCAAGACAGAGGCAGAGACCTCCAGGTGTACATATTCCCTGCCTTGACCTGCCACGGCCACCAAACCAGTCGTCATGCCCAGACACTGTCCTTCCCTTCGCAGAGTCTGCATAAGGTTGGCAATCTATTGGAAATGTAATGTTGCCACATCAGTTTCCCTATATTTGAAAAACACTCACTACACAGCTGTTGACAGTGGTCCTTGACAACAGGACCATCCCTTCAACCAACAAATATTTCTGTAATGCTTTTCACTTTGTTTTAGAAGATATCGCTGCCTGGCGGCTCAACTGAGATCCTGCACAGATGTAATCATCGCTTCCTTTTTGCAGGATTACGCTACTCTAATACATCCTGCTAGGATACTATGCAACTTCTAACATCAAGGATGCATTTTTCAACAAGTGCTTTCATTTCTAATTACATGAGAAATATTGTTTCAATTATCTTGCTTTCATGATACCACTGGTGAATGAAACATGTAACTACAGACTCTTCAGTTCTGGTCCAGAAAAGAGTCTACTAAACTTTCTAAACACCTGTATAAAGAAAAAGCAAGTGCAATTAACAGAGTATGTTAAATTATATATACATACTTTAGTCATTGCTCCTGTCTGTGCTGTGTTCAGTCCGGTGTGACCAGTCATCTGTGGAGATACTTGGGTTAAAGTCTCTGCCAGCACACTGCCTGCATTCCCCTGCATGGCAGGGGCAGAATATTGCATTCCTGATTCCCTTCCTCTTCCAGCTGCCCCAAGAGATCCATTCATTACCTGCCCTTGTCCTTGCTGAGGCTGATTCATTAAACTGTGACCAGAATTACTACTGTTGAGAAGGCTCTGGTGTGTCTGACTGAAATTAGTATTCATACATATCCCAGGTCCAGTCTGTGATGTTGCAGGGCTGCTCGTCACCATCCCCACTTGTTTTTGTGCTTGAGAGTTCAGAGTTTGTGATGCAGGTGTGGTAGGTCCAGAGGTGCTGGCTGCTTGCTTTGCCAGGCCCGAAGCAGAAGAGTCTCCCTGGTTTAAAGGGCTCTTACCCATAGCAGCCAGATTACCGATATTAGCGCTGTTCGGCTGCCCTTGAACTTGACTACCAACTCCCTGCTGGACAGGGCTGTTTGAGTTCACATTTCCAATTCCTGGGTTTAAGGAAGAGCCGCTGCCTCCCCTTAGAAGTTCAGAAAGTTGTTTGTGTTTGGAAGCTGCATCTGGAACAAGGTTCCCACTGCTGTTCAAAAGGCCCAGCTCACCGTTGGGGATCAGCTCATCAGGAAGATCATTTTCCAAGTCAAACAAAGATCCAAAATCTACAAGTTAAAACAGAAACACAGGTGAGAAAAGCATGACAAACAAGTAACTAAAACATTCATCTATGCTGCTTTGTACTAGTCTTAAACAACGACATGCATTAAGATACATCTTTACCCAAGACTCAATTGCAAGCAGGCGATCAAGGGTCCCCGTGACACGAACTCCACAGTCCCCCAGAAAGAGTCACTGCTACGTACTGTGCTCATACAGCCACACGTGCAGGGGAGAGCACTGGGCAGGAAGTAGCTTTTTTGTAAGACTTTTGACAAAACATTGTACTTAAGAAACTTGAAGTGCAATGAATATAATCATCATAACTCTCATTTTGGCTAAATCAAGACAACAAAAATATCAAGTGAAGTCCTACTGATTTATTCTCCCAAAAGAATGATTACATCACCTTCTCTGACCTCCCACATAATCCCAGGCCACTGTATTTCACCCAACAATCCCACCTCAACCTTATAATTTATGTTCGCATACGGCCAACAACATCCTCCATCTAGGCTTCGAAGCTTGATCAAAAGACAACTACCCCAGTAGCTTGGTCCCAGCCTCACATATAAATGCATTCAGTATCAGTTTCTAGTCTCTGGTTTGTATCATGATCCACTGCCTCAGAAGATCCCAAAAGGCACTCAGCACTTTCTCCTCAGAATGCCTCTCGAATCAAGTCACTTCTTGATGCCTCAACAGCTCAAATAATTCCAACTGCTCTCTAAGTGCCCAGCCCTCATTTATCATGCCCAATATTGACAGAGCTAATCCACACAGTCTCCACATGAGCAAAATAATCAATCAAACCTTCATTAAACCACTTGAAGGTACTGCTCTGCCTGGCTGTAACATCCAAACTGACAAAAAGTGGTGGGGTTTCTTGTTCTGTTTTTTTGGGTTTTTTTTTGTTTTTTTTTTTTTTTTAAAAAGGAGCAGCTCAGGTTCACTCAGAGGTTTTACATCATAAGCAATGTCGGCGTAACAATGTTATTTTGGTATGTAATGAAAAATAAAGTTACCTGATGATATATAGGTACTTTCATGTGAAAATAAGTTATTTTTGAAGACATAAGGACAAGTGCATCTAGCAATATGAATAAACATGTAAGCAGACTAGCCTCCATTCATCAAAGCAGCTGTTCAAACAGGCAGCACAAGAAAGTTATCCAGTCCTAGGACGTGACATAAACCAACCATTTTTTACCGTGACATAACAGAAATGTGTGGAACCTTTATTTTGCTCCCCCAAAGCCAGCCCTGAAAAACCCAAGTCTCTCACAGTCAGCAATAGACAAACCGATTTTTCTCCACGTTAGAGCAAACAGAAGTTCTTTTCTAAAGAAGGGCACCCCAAAAGTTTCATTATTTTAAAGTTTAATTCACTCTTCGACGACAAAAAGCCGGTGCAAGACTCAGGTTGCAAAAGTGGCATATCGTCCAACAAATTACAGCCTGGACTGCACTGAAAGGAATCAACAAAACCAAACACCGCTCCACCTGTACCACAAAGCTATCTCCAGCACATTTTCAGTATGCATTTCATCAGCATTTCAATTTTCAACTCAACCTACCAGAAGAAAAAGGAATAAAAACTTTCAGATGTGTTGCAACTACCAGTGAATTACACAAACAGTCCCAGTAAACATGCACAAAAACGTTAAATTCTGCCCGTTCTGAGGCACTCACAGCAGCATGTCCTTTAGGGCCCCTACATTTTACAGTCATTACCTACTGAAGCCAATAAGCTGAAAGAATTATTCCAGCCTTGCGTGATGTTGGCCACAACAAAATTCACCACAGCTCAGAACAGACCTCCTATTCCCTTTCAAGCAGGGAAGTAACAAACATTTTCATTAGCTAGGTTCATTAAAGTATTTTTGATTTCTGTCTTACTTGTTGCCTTTCCCTTCAGTTGTTTAGTTCACCTTTTCAGCTTGTCTGTTACAGAAAGGTGTACCTTCAACTATCCCCCCATCCCTCCTCCTTTTTCCCACACCACCACTTGACACCACGCTGCAATTTGCGTCTCTTCCCATACACGTTGGTTCTACCCTCCTTCTCCCGAGGTTTCACTATTTTTAACCTTCCATGCCCTTTAACCCCGCTCTGATGAGAGCCCCGTTGCCTGTTCTCGGCACCGAGCCCCGTTTGGCCAGAAGCGCGTCCCCGGGTCCCCGCGGCACAGCCCTGTCTCCGCACGCTGGCAGGCTCCGCTGCAGACGGCGGCTGCAGCCTGGAGCACAACCAAAGCCATCTGCCTGCGTGTCACCAAGGGTGGTGACACAGGGGCCGTGGCTGAGGCTTCGCCTTTGTTAAACTGCTCTCGTCGTGCTGGCTCGTTGGGAAGTTCAAGGTTTACAGCGTTTGTTCAGAAAACTTCTGTAAATCTCATGAATGGTGTTTTTCCAAGCTTCTGCACTCAAATTCTTCATATTTCATGAACAAAACATATTTTTGTGTGTGCTTAGACACGCAGGGCTAGGGACAGACGAGAAGTGAGAAGAAGTGGAGGGGAAAGATGTTGCTGTGGTTTAAAAAAAGCAGAGTAGTTTTTTTTCCAGTTGTATTTCAAAATGGGATGCTCAACTTTTGTTTGTTTGGCTGGCTGGACTCCTAACAGTCTTGCCAAAGCCAAGGACTGGAAATATTTTTGCAGTGTACCAGAAAAGTGAAGAAAGCGTTTGGGAATACTGCCTCTTAAAACATAAAATAATCTACCTCTCTTAAGCTCCTGTAAGAAGGCTATACATCAAGGTTAGGCATGGAAAGTTTACAGCTCTGCCAGCAGGAAAATAAAAAGCAGGTAAACAGCTTAACACAGCGGCTGTGTAAAAATTCACTGAGTATTCAAATGTTCAGGCAATGATTAATCTTCCTGCTTTTATATTTTAAACAGTCGCGTACGTTAAAAACATCAACACAAGGCACATTTTACAAGAGTTATAAAATACAACAGAAAACAAAAGTCTACTTGAGCACGTCTGCAACAAATCCATAAAGATAAGAGATTGTCTTGGCAGTTATAAAAATAATAAATATATTTACACACATATAAAAACCTGCCATAATAAGAAAGCAGCCCATTTCTACTGGTAGCAAAATGGAAAGTAACCTCAGTCCCCCCATCCACACAAACAGAACACAATTGACCCCATTCTCAATGCTTCAGCTATTTCTCAAAGCCAATGACAGCCACCAAGAGCCTAGAAAAAAAAAACCAAAAAAACCCCCAAAACCCAAAAAAGCAAACCTGAGAGATGCCTTTGCCTTTACATAGTTATCTGAAGCAATGCTCGAAAACCGCCTACTGAGGAACCCCACTCCAGTGACTGAGCTTTGTACCCGCTCCATCCTACCTAGAGTGCACAGAACAGAAAAAATCGTCTCTGTTTTACAGAAGGACAGACTCCCTTAACTCACAAGGCACACAGGTCTGATTTCCGTGCAGAGGAAGCCGTAGAGCTGACTAGGGCTGCAGAGACCCACCTCGTAGCATCTCATCTCCAACACAGCACTTCCACTCCTAAACCTCACACCTTTCATTATCTCCGTTACATAAACCAAAACGTCCTCTTAACAGCAGAGCGCCAAAAACCAGAGATAATATGTCTTTCGGAAAGGATGGAAAAGCACTAGGCCGCTCCAACCCCCCCGCTCTTTCCAAAGGGCTCCTTTCCCAATCTGAGAATCTTGCGTTCTTTGAGCATTTATTTTCTCACATAGAAGATAACCACACTTGAGACACACTCCCTCCTAATTTCAGTTTTATGAGCTTAAATGTCACCGTTTTCTGCCTTCCTGGACAACACTTTCAGCAACCAGAATAAAAAAAGATGCTGTTTCCTTCCAAGCCTTCTCAGATGAAAAAACTGTGCGAGTTCTCAGGCAGAACATTTTCATCTGTACAACTACTTGCAACTGTTACCAGGAGATTCTTTCTTATTCAATATACATATTCAATCAATTCACTTGTTTCAATGTCACCAGTTTTTCCCCCTTTAGCTCAGCCTGGAGATGTGACAAACATTGTAAGGTGTTTCTTTACGCGATTTATTATCTCACACATATCCAACAGTGAGCAGGTGAGGAACTACCAAACTTCATTTTTTACGGCATAATCTCCACTTGAAAGATGACAGAGTTTTCCTGTCCAAACTCTGACTGCCCATCCATGGAGCAGACACTGAAGTCGCGCTGCAGCCCCAGTATACAAGCAGTATTTTCACCATGCCTTTCTTTGATGCCAACATAGCTGTTACATTTCAGTGAGCCCCATTTTGTTTTGCAAGGCTTCTTTCAATCATGCCAGACTCCAGCAGACAAAGCCTCAACAGTTCCGAGCTCCAGGCATCCCCTAAAATTCACAGTCAGGTAACACAACTCAATAGCCATACTGTTTGGTGCAGTCAGCACTTGCCACATCCATTCCAACCTCCTTTCGAGGTTTCAGGATTCTATAATTTATTGTTTCATAAAAGACAATAAGCAGATTTAATGTTTTAGAGCAATTAAACAATGCATTTATAGAAAAAATAACATTTCCAGTAAGGAAACTTTACATTAGCATCTTAACCTAACGAGAGACACACAAAGACTGCAAACCGACGTGCATCTGATCTTGACTTTCAGATGAGCATCAGTTTTTCAGAACATGATGTTTAACAGCCAGGGTAAGAAAGACAGCAATGAGGGACCTGGCTGGGCCAAGGAGACCCTAAAGGCTGGCTGGAGGAGGGCGAGGGGAAACCAGAGATCCAACAGCAGGCATCTGGATGACTCTCAACAAGTTATGGCCTGCATAATAAGAGATTTGGCTATTTAACTAAATTTCTTTCTACCTGATCTTGTGAACCACTTGCATTTGGGATGAGAAGGAAATACAGTCTGTGTGGACTGGTCAAAATTCGAACCTATCGATACATAGAAGCAAGCCTTGCCTTTGGGCATCCTAGGTACAACTACCACGGTGCTCTGTTCCTTACAGACCCGCAGTCACTCGGGTTGGAAGGGACACCAGGATGTCTGCAGCCCAGCCCCTCAGCCTCTTCTCAAAGGGCAAATGCTCCAGCTGCCCGACTTCCTTGACAGCCCTTCACTAAATTCACTTCAGCTCCTCCATGCTCTCCCAGCGATGGAAGGGAGGCTCACCCATCTGTAGTTGCCTGTGTAGTCCCTTTTAGCCTGTCTGGAAAATGGGTGTAACCCTTGTCTTCTCTAGCTGGGATTTTAGGGACAGTGAGATCGAGGAGGCAGCGTTACCACACTTCCTTTGCAACTTGTCTTCTGGCAAAGCACGATTCTCCCTAAGATGAACACCATTCCGGGTACAGACACACAACTAAGCAGTGACACAGTTCCTAAAATCAATTAAGTTAGGTCCATTTTGTGCATCCCAATAACCAAAAGGGACACTATCAGCTTAGAATCTAGTTAAAGTAGCTTCAAGTTCCTAAAATCTCCCCCAATCCATTTTTGTAAGATTTTACCAACTAAGTGACTTTTCAA